TTTTTTTTTTGAGTCGGACTCTTGCTCTGTCACCGAGGCTGGAGTGCAGTGGCGAGATCTCGGTTCACTGCAAGCTCCACCTCTCAGGTCCACCTCTCAGGTTCACGCCATTCCTCTGCCTCAGCCTCCCCAGCAGCTGGGACTACAGGCGCACGCCGCCACACCTGGCTAATTTTTTTGTATTTTTAGTAGAGACCGGCGTTTCACCATGTTAGCCAGGATGGTCTCAATCTCCTGACCTCATGATCCACCCGCATCGGCCTCCCAAAGTGCTGGGATTACAGGCATGAGCCACCACGCCCGGCCAGGTGCCACACTTTTAAACAATCAGATCTCACTTGAACTCAGAGTGAAAACTCACTAATTATCATGAGGACAGTAACAGTCCATTCATGATCTGCCCCAGTGACCCAAACACCTCCCATTAGGCCACACCTCCAACATTGGGGATTACATTTCAATATGAGATTTGGAGGGGACAAATGTCCAAACCATATCAAGAGTCAACTATGCCATGCTTTTCTAAATGAACAGAAACACTATTAAGTAACCTTACATATCACATTTCTTGATTGTTTCTATCCTATTGAACAACAATCTGTTCCTGTGTAATACCATACAGTTGTCACTACAGTCAATACCAAGTATAAATCTCTGGTAGGACAAGGCCCCTGTCTTCTTTGTGAGGGAATGTGAAAACTTCTTTTTTTTTTTTTTTTTTTTTTTTGAGACAGAGTCTCACTCTGCCACCCAGGTTGGAGTGCAGTGGCGAGATCTCGGCTCACTGCAACCTCCAGCTCCCTGGTTCAAGCGATTCTCCTGCCTCAGCCTCCAGAGTAGCTTGGATTAGAGGCATGTGCCACCACACCCAGCTAATTTTTGTATTTTTAGTAGAGATGGGATTTCACCATGTTGGCCAGGATGGTCTTGATCTCCTGACCTCGTGATCCACCCGCCTCGGCCTCCCAAAGTGCTGAGATTACAGGCATGAGCCACCACAACTGGCATGAAAACTTTTTTGTGAGGTTCATTTCTCTTTGTGAGGGAAAACTTTTTTCAATTCTCAGAATTTTACTCTTCAGCAGGAGCTTTCAATTCATTGCATTCTCCCACACAGGGAAAAAAAAAATCCATTAGGATTCAGAATGGATTAACTGCTCTATTGCTACTGACTTTTATTTCATAATAGAAATATGAAATAGAAAATGTCTAATAAAACATCTTTATCAAAGTCTCATTGCCTCTTTTAAAAAGACAATTTATAAATAGACTTTTGAATTTACTTATTTTGATTTTGAATGGCATTTATCATTATGGATTGTATTTCCTTCATATATGAGATACTTTAGATTTTTCAAAGCCTACTGAGGTCACCTTGGTCTCTGTTCCCACTTATTTCCAAATACAACTAGGAGTTATTTGGCTACCCTACTCAGAAAGAAAAATAATTATCTTTAAATAATCTAGCAATATACCATTCTCAGTCACATTTGGAAACAAAATATCCTACGTCAACAAAGAACAAGAAAGAGCTTGAATTTTTTTTATGACATTATATTTGAAGAGAATCTTTATAGCAAATGGAAAAAAAATTTGTTTTATGATTTTAAAACACTTTTTGTTTTGCTTTACTTATTAATTTCAGTCCCCTAGTTTCTCAGGAAAAAACAAAATCACACAATTGTTTTTGCTTAACGTGATGAGGCAAACTATAAGACACATACCTACTGCTGTGCGTCCTGTTCTTTTCTCCAGGATATTCCATTTCCTTTCTTCTTAGTACCAAAAATATCATGATAGCAGTGCTATAAAGAAGACTGACTGGTCTGGGAATTCAGTGCAACCAATTCTAGATCTACTTGTACTTGCCACATCCTTATCGTATGATCTTGCCATTCTAACTCTCAGATTCAGTGAAAGCTATATGTCTTTTAAAGTTTATCAGTTGCATCAGACCATATATATAACTCAGAATAAGTTCAAAGATAAGAAGATGTAAGCAGTTTCTAGAAAAAAATTTTCTTTCTCTCTACTTGAATGAACTATTGACACCAAGTTTACAAAAATTAAAGTGATTTCAATGAAAATGTATACATGGCTAATTAGCTTCATATTTATATGAAAGTGATTTCAAAGAAAATGTATAAATGACTAATTAGCTTCACATTTATCATGAGTTGGGGCTATTTGACTTTTGTCATAACATTTTACCTAATCTATAAAATGTTATTTTCAAATAAGACTTTGGAGCTTTAGAAAAATGGAGCTGAACATGCTTTGAGAAAGTAAAGTGAGCCATGAAAGGAGAAAATAAAGGCCTAGTTTTTGTATCCCAATAGATTTTTACCAACCTTTCCCTAAACCTTTCCCTCATTCTAAAAGAAAGTTTAGAATGAGCATAATGGGAAAAGGGGGAAATTGTTATGTTGCGGATGAAGGAAGGAAAGGTCAGCTAGGTCCAATAAGTAAAGAGAGGACTAGTCTCAAACTATTAAACATATGATTTACCTAGCAAAAGCTTTAAGTCACAGCTGAATTACATTGGGGAAACAATTACAGGTTTTACAATGGAAAGAAGCATCTTCAATGTTGGCTGCAATCACTGACAGCAAGAATACTAACTTTTGAAAAAATAAAAATGGCCATTGTTTTCTGCTTTCCAAATCTTAGTTTAATATTATGTTCCTCAAACACTATAAAGTTGAGAACTGAAATGATTACCTGGGAAATTCTGGTGAAACTGAGGTGTTTGTTTCATTAATTATCCACGTCATTTATCTTCTTAACTTAACCTAAATTTAGCCTGAATATCATTTGTTAGAGACTGAAGACTTTTAGAGAGTAGAGAGCACCTTTTTTTAATTAAATAAATTCCTTTGATAATATTTTAATGTGACTCAAGAATCCAGCAGTATCTATATATGGGCCCTCTACATCAATGAAAAGAAGTACCTCATACAATTCTGTGAAATGAGACTAAAATACAGTTTCAATTATGAGGTAATTTCTTTTTTGTTTTTGTAGTCTAATGCAGGAAGAATGAAGACTAGTCATGTCAAGAACCACAGCCTTGCTACGTTTTCCTTATGTAAGTGCTGTAAATAAATTGGTGAAGGGAATCATCAAATGCCTTATTTTCCTTCCTGCAAAGAGAATAAACTTTTTTGAAAGTCCCTGATAAGGTACAACCCTTATCCCTAAAGTTAGACCTACCAATAGCTGTGACCCCAGATCATTCTGGTGTCTGTATGGAGTGTTTGCAAAGATGAGTACAATAATTCTTCCCATCCTCTCCACATGCACCTCTGTGGCTTTGCCACTCTGCCCATCAAGAAGTGGAGTTGAATTTCTAGAATCTGGATTTAGCTGTTTAACTTGCTTTGACCAATGAGATTTGAACAAAAAGTAACAAGCTGAAACTTCCTTTTAGCTTTGTTGGAACCATAAGACCACTAGGTAAAGATGCCTCCAACAAACTGTTAGAGATATCTGACCCAGGTAATAGCCAGGACCAAGTCAAGCAGCCATCTTCCATCATCCAGTACTAGCCAAATCTCATTACTTGTGGCACATGAGTGAACTCCACAGAAGAACCATTGACATGAGTCTAGCCCAGATTACTGATCCAAAGGCTAATCACATAAAATGCTTGTCTTTTTGCCAAATAAAACAATGTCACAGACTCTCCCAAGTCCCCTTATTATTTTTTTTAATTTTTTTTTTTTTTTTGGAGATGGAGTTTTGCTCTTGTTGCCCAGGCTGAAGTGCAGTGACGCACTCTTGGCTCAGTGCAACCTCCGCCTCCCAGGTTCAAGCGATTCTCCTGCCTCAGCCTCCCGAGTAGGTGGGATTACAGGCAGGTGCCACCATGCCCAGCTAGTTTTTGTATTTTTAGTAGAGACGGAGTTTTGCAGTGTTGGCCAGGCTGGTCTCAAACTCCTGACCTCAGGTGATCCATCCACCTTGGCCTCCTAAAGTGCTGGGATTACAGGAGTGAGCCACCGTGCCCAGCCCCAAGTTCCCTTAAATCATGTAAAATTTCATGAGTATGTGGCACGTGCAGTTTTCGGTGAAGAGGATCCTTAATCTTCATCAGCTTCTCAAAGTGATCTATGAGCCAAATTTAAAAAGACCCATCAGCACCAACTATGATTTCTCTTCCAGAAGCTGGCCTTCTTAGCTCTGGCTTGACCTACTGGTATAGTGTGTAGCTGGCTTTGGAAAGAAAAGGAAACCCTATTTACATTATCTGTATTCCAGCATCCTCACCTCTTCCATAAGTCTAGCTGAGTAAGAGTTTGGATCTTAGTTCCCACCTTTTCCTGTGTATTCATTATGATGCATGGAGCGATGAGAGTAATTCCCATGTTAAATGTGGCCAGAGAGGTTGGCAGACCAAGGAGCAAGTTACCGTCCTCCTAGATTACCACTACACTTCCACAGAAAGTCCTCTAAACACTTGCCACAGATATTACCAAATTGTCACTCTTTATTGCATTATAGTAAGCCTTTGAGGTAGAAATCACTACAATTACTTGCTCCAGGCCATAAAGCAGACCAAGTACACCTCAATACCAAAGCTTTTCTCCCAGGAAAAAAAAAAAAAAAAAAAAAAAAAACGGACCCAGGGACCCTCAGGGTCGGCAAAGACTCTTCTAAAACATCTGTCCGGGCCAGCTCCTCATTTGGATCGGTGCTGACAGAAACAGAAACGCCAGGGGGCCGGAAATGTGGCCAGGACGATGCCCCTCTGTTCTGGGCACCGTTTGTTCGAATACCTCGTCAGGTATCATCAGGTGTCACTCAGGAAGGAGACACGCCCTGCCTGGACTGCAGCGAACGCTGTACGGGGTACGTGGTGGCCCTCAGGTTACCGACCGGGTCCGTTAGATTCCAGAGGACAAAAGGCAGGGAACAGCCTGGTCTTGGGGTCTTTAAATAGAGAGGTGCCATCTACTGCCGAAAACCAAGTCAACATCTCGGGACAAAGCTGCACTCACCCCCGGCCGGCTGAGCTCTGGGCCCCTTTAGCCTTTCTTTGAGCCTGGTCCAGTAAAAAGCAGCCCCAGCAGTCTCAGCTGAAACGCTCCACACCCGGGCCCCGCTGAACTGCAGAAGCGAAGACTGACAAGCACTCTGTCCGCTCGTAGACTGGGAGCTCGCAGCACCGGCGGCTCCGCCCAGGCCCCCGCACACTCACTCACCAGCCTGGTAGCTCTGTAAGGCCCGGGCCCCACGATGCGATGCTCCATGGCGAGCAGGCAGCAGCGGCAGCAGCCGCGCCAGCGCCGATCCCCGCCAGCCGGCGGAGCAGCAGTTTGAATCCCAAGCCCGCGGGCTCCGGGCGCTGATTGGGCGGCGCGAAGGTACGTCACCGGAACTGCGCAGAGTGGGCGGGGAGGTCGGTGTCTCTCCGAGACCGGCGTCGCATGGATCTCCGGCTGCCAACTTGCCTGAGGTGAAATCTGTTGCCCACCCTGGTCCCACCGTGCGAGCACACCTGGGCAGGTGCGACTACGGGCCCAGGGGCGTCTCCCCCGCGCTGGACAACGCTGTGCAGCGCCCTTCCCAGATTTCTGCGTCGGAGCAACACAAACACACGCATTCTTTACAAAAGGGTCAATAAAAGGGTGTTACCCAACTACCGAAACCCAACTTTGGGCCGCTTGGATAAATCGCTGTCCTCCCTACCAAGTGCACTGTGAGCCTGGAGGTGCTGCTAACTCTGGGAGAAGCAGGTAATAAAATGAAGCGAGGCGACAGCTTTTACCAATGGAGGGACATTTAAAAACGGGATAGAGAGCACATGGCCACAAGGAGCGTAGACAGTATGTAAGGGCAATAAAGAGCGGGAATGGAGCCCAGATTATCTTCTGTTTGTTCTCTTGATAGTCTTTTTTCCTTTGAGTTCTATGTTTTGTATTGGACTGATATTTTTAGTCCTTGGTAATAGGGTTGTGAGTCTTTTTTTGACTGCTTAGAATTTTCCCCCTGGGAATTGCTTGTCCGATTTGCAATATTTCAGAGGGACAAATGAAGTAACTCCATATACTTACGACTCTGTACCCTACTCAAATTTGGTCATCTCTGTAAGTACCCAGGATAAGACGTTGAAGGAGTGAAGATGTGCCATTCCAAAATATGCCTAATTGGTATATTGATTATTTCGAGCGGAAAACATTGGAGAAATGGTAGTTTCAGAAAGAGCAAGCTGACCGGCCTCTTCCGATGCAGCAGGCCATAAAGATTTCTCTGGGACGGGCATCCTCTCCCTACCACGGTGAGAAAATAGTCCATATCACCAAAGGCTTGGAATTGAAGGCTGCAGTTGACCTGAATAAACATTCTTAACGAAGTAACCCTATCTTCCACTAGGAGATACAGGAAATTTTTTACATTTATCTTCCAGTGACTCCCTAGAAAATGTTACTGTCTTTGTGAGCTATGGAAGTTACTGGAGTCACAGGGCACCAGAATATGTTAGCAGCTGCCCATATCCGAGACACCGCCCCAAAGTATGTTACAGGCAGCGAATCCCTATAGATCTGCAGCACCCTCAATTCTTGCCTCCTCAGAAGAAAGAATTCGAGTGAGGGGCTTAAGACGGAAGGAGAGACCCAGGCAAGTATTAGACCAGAAGTGAAAATTTATTAAAAAGCTTTGAATGAAAGGAAGTACACTTGGAAGAGGGCCAAGCCGGTGACTTGAGAGATCTAGTGCATAGTTTGACCTTTTGACCTGGGGTTTTATACGTTGGCATACTTCTGGGGTCTTGCTTTGGGGCTTTGCATTACTTCTCTCCTGATTCTTCCCTTGGGGTGGGCTGTCCACATGCGCATACTTGAGCCCACTTGCCCAACTCCTAAGATCTTATCAGGAAGCCTCTGATCAACAGTTCAAGTGTTTTCTATTAGGAGACTGCCTTTCCCTGGTGCTGGCTGTGACCAACTATTATTTTAGAGAGACAATTAACAACCGCCTGACCATCACCTGATGGCTGCCTGACATTCCTGATGTGTGTGTGTATGAGGGGGAGCCCTCTCCTGCCCTGCTCATGCCTGACTAGCTACCTACTGTAACACCTTAGCCAAATTTTCTTTGTCATGGCTTTTCTTCTCAAATGTATCTCTCTTTGTCTAAAAAAAAAAAGTGAAAGCATCTTCGGCCATTTCTTCAGACTTCACTCTCTTGTGAAGATCCCCATGTGTATGTAAAACTAATAAAATGTGTATACTTTTCTCCTGGTAATCTTCCTGGTGTCAGTGTGGTTTCTAGATACAGCTGGAGAGCTCATTAAGAGGTAAAAGGGAGCTTGGAAGTGACCTCTGGCTCCCCTATAACATGATAAGAAAGACCTAAGTAAGGGATTGGACTCCCACCTCTTCTCATCCTCAAAACCACACCACTACCACCACCCATTTGCTGCTTTAGGTTTTTACTTAGAAAGCCCAAGAAATGTCCGAGATGATACATACATATTGCTTTTGTAATTAGAAAAAACAATTAAAAATTTTTTTGTTACTTCCAGTAAGTGAATCCTTATCAAAACTTTTTTTAAACCTCTAAGCTCCATGGAAGAGAGCTTGTCTTCCGTGCTGCTTGTCCTTGGCAAGGAATATAAAGGGATACTTGTGTTCTTGACACAAGAAACAGGAGAAAGGGAATTTTAGAGCCTTGTCTGTCTGAGACCTGCCACCATCTATGATGGTGGTGAAACTGGAATCTGATACAAAACATCATGTCCAGCATTATGCAGCTCTCTAGTTCTGTAAGTATCACAGACTGTGAAACTCCGTAGATCTGGATTTCAATAATGACTGGTACTACTTACCAGTGGAGTGACTTCAAGCTAATTATTTAATTTCCATCTACTTACTGGTAAACTGGGAACATTAATGATTATCTTGCAGAGTCGTAAGGATGTATGTAAAGTGCTAAATATAGTGCTCAGCATATATTTACAGTGCCCAGCATATATCAGTAATAAAAAGAACTATATATATATGTATTTTTTAAATGATACCAGCTTCTTGAGCATTTCCCAAGAGCCTGTTATTAGCCATAGACAAGATGGCTATTACTAGAAAGGCATATTTCCAAAAGATCTACATATCAGAAGCCACAAAGAGTCGTTGCAGGGGCCGGGGGCATCTGGACAATGCCGTGCAGCACCCTTCCCAGACTTCTGCACCCACACAACACAAACATGTACACTATTTCTCTACAAAAGGGTCAATAAAAGGGTGTCATCCAGTGATGCCTCACGCCTATAATCCCAGTACTTTGGGAGACCAAGGCAGGTGGATCACTTGAGCCCAGGAGTTCAAGACCAGCCTGGGTAACATGGCAAAACCCTGTCTCTACTAAAAATATGAAAATTAGCTGGCTGTGGTGGCACACTCCTGTAGTCCCAGCTACTCAGGAGGCTGAGGTGGGAGAATCGCTTCAACCCAGGAGGTGGAAGCTGCAGTGAGCCAGGATCGTCCCACTACACTCCAGGCTGGGTGACAGTGAGATGTCTCTAAATAAATAAATAAATGCCTCAAAGAAATCGAGGTTTTACATTTGTTCATTCACTTATTCAGCAAGTATGTAAGAATACACTACTGTGTGCCAACTGTAATTCCAGTCACTGAAATCATGCAATAGATAAAATGCAGCTTCTAGGAGCTGACTCCTAAGTAGAGGAAGGGATGACAAGCTAGCTATAATACATTCAAATATGTATTATATATCAGGTGGTGATTGAGTACTGAAAAGAAAAGTAAGACTAAAGTGGAGAGGGTGGTAGGGGGAAGTTGCTGTTTTGGTTCAGGTGGTCAGGGAAGGCATCTTTGATGAAGTGACATCTGAGTAGATGATCTGATGAAGTAAGGGGTAGTTATCTGCGGAAGAGCTTCTAAGCCGAAAAATGAGCGGCCCATGAGAAACTTCCAGGAGACATGGGAAGGAGGCTGGTGCTGATTACAGTGGGGGAGTAAAAGGGGCAGTGGAGAAGATGGGGTTGAATACAGAGTGGAGTGGGGCTTTCAGGCCACATTATGGGCCATGGGATTCTGATACTGTTCTGAATTAGTGAAAATATATTAGAAAGTTTTGATCAACAGAGTAATCAAAACAGATCACAATCACTCTGCTGATCTTTGGCCAGTCATTTTGGCCAAATCACTCTGGCCATGTGTGGATACTGGACTCGGGTAGGCATTGAGGGTGAGAAAGGAGGCAGGAAAACCAGTTGAGGAAGCTGCTACAATACCTCATTGGAGAAAGTAAACAAATTTCCTTTGTGTGGTACTTGGCACATAGTGGCATTCAACAACCATTTACTGAGTGAGTAAATGAGCGAGCAAATGAAACTAAGCTTTAGAAGTTATTCATTTCTTAAAGATCAATTTGATTCATTCATTCTGTTTGCCATTTCTCATATGAGTATGGGGAACAAAATAATAGCTAGCTTTTATATTTTTATTTTAATGCATCAGATTTGTTTTTAAAACTCTTACTTTTTATCATTAAAGTCCTCTGAGCTTTTGAGTTTGGGAAAATGCAATCTGCACATACTCCATGACTTGTGTTATAATTGCCCCTCCACCTCCTGCCGCCTCACACTTACACCATTACAGTACAAAGTTACCATAATAAAACCTATGCCAAAGAATATAGCTGAATGGATTTTCATATTTGAGAATAAGCTCAATTTCTGACACATCACAGTTATGCCAAGGCATATATGGTGAAGTATAATTCTCTACACCTTGGAAAGAGATGTAATGAAAAAAGTTTTTAACTAACATTGATCTGGCCAAGAAATATAGGATAAATTAAAGGAGGAAGATTCTAAAGATAGGAAAGCCATTTGGAAGACAGCTGAAGGAATACAGGCATAGAATTCCATGAGTAATAGAGTGTTATGAGAAAATACCTATATAATCTTGAGCAAGACTCAACTTCTCTGATTATCAGTTTCCTCATCAGTAAAATAGAAATAATAATGGTACCTGCTTCATAGGGTTGTTGAAAGACTTAACTGAGGAAATATATACAAAGCTCTTAGAATTTTGTTTCCCTTACATGGTAGGCAGAATTCTAAGAAGGTCCCTATTTCAGAAAAAGAACTAATAGAAGACATATACATATATGTACAGACAGAAAGAGACAAAGACAGACAGAGATTTATTAAAAGGAACTGGCTCACATGACTATGGAGCCTGATGAGTCCCAAGATCTGTAGTCGGGAAACAGAAAACCTGGCAGACATGATGGTATATTTACAGTCCAAGTTCAAAGATCTGAGAACCAGGGCCAATGGCATAGCTCCAGTTTGAAGTCTGGTAGGCTTGAGACCAGGAAAAGCTGACGTTTGTTTCAGTTTGAGTTTAAAGTCAGGAGAAAAAAAAAAAAAAAGTTCCAGCCTGAAGGCATTCAGGCAGAAGAAATTCCCTCTTATTCAGGAGAGAAAGTCTTTTGTTTTATTCAAGCCTTCCACTGATTGGATGAGGCCCACCTATATTAGAGAAGGCAATAAGTTTAGTCTATTGACTTACATGTTAAACTATCAAAAATACCCTCAAGAAATACTCAGAGTAATATTTGACCACATATCTGGGCACCCTGTGGCAGATAAATTAACCATAATTTTATGGTTAACATAAAATTAACCATTATAGCCCCTGAGACCCCCAGCCCCTGATATACATAAACCTTCTTCCCATTATTTAACCAAACACTAATGTAGATACTGCTGTAACGAGATTTTGCACATGTAATTAAGGTTGTTGATCTTGAGGTAGGACAAATATCTAGGTGGTCCTGCTTAATCATATGAGCTCCTTAAAAGGACAGAATTTTCTCCAACTAGTTGTATAAGGAAAGCCAGGACTAAATTCCATCAACCTGAATGAGCTTAGAAGCAAATTTTCCCCTAGAGCCTCTACAGGAGAACTCAG